AGCTTCTAAAGCTAGGAAGCTCTAATCAGGAGTTGGAAGTTATTACATAAAGCTGAACCAGTTTTTCTCAGATTCCAACTGCAATTTTCTACTACTAAGCCTATTACCAAGAGGACAATGCTGTGCTTATCAGCTCTCTTCTAAATTCTGCTATGAACAGGAAATTGAAACCTACTCCTCAGACCCAATAGTGAGAAAAGACTCAGCACTCAGCCTGCTCTCAGCACACATCCTTAGCCCACAAAGATGGCTAAGGGCCTACTTCATACCCAGCGCTGGTCTAGGCACAAGAAGGGAGCCAGAGGCCAACAAGGCAGTTAGCAAGATAACCTAGTGTCTGCATCACCAATAAGTGGATTGGCTGAAGACCTGCTATGTTTTAGGGGACTGAGGTGGACCTAGAAACATCCCAGTGTATGGTGATTCCTAGAGCCTGCTGTTCAAGATTTCCAGGGACACCCTATCTGGCCTGAAACCATAGGAAGTCAAAAATTATGTCTATTGTCTATTTGGGGGAGAAAGAACCATCAAATAATGTCTGTTTATTAAAAAATTTTCTGTCCATTGCTCTGCACCCATAATATAGTGGTTATGGCGCCGGCCACATACCCCGAGGCTGGTGGGTACAAACCCAGCCTGGGCCAGCTAAACAACAATGACTGCAACAACAACAAAGAAAAATAGCCAGGAGTTGTGGCAGGCACCTGTGGTCTCAGCTATTCGGGAAGCTGAGGCTAGACAATTGCTTAAGCCCAAGAGTTGAGGTTGCTGTGAGCTGTGATGCCACAGCACTTTACTGAGGGTAACATAGTGAGACTCTGTCTCAAAAAAAAAAAGTTTTCTGTCCAGAAATAAAGCCTACTTGTTTTTTAAGAAATCTAAATTAAAGAAAAAAATGTTTTTAGTAGCAATTGCTTTTTTTTTTTTTTTTGAGTCAGAGTTTTGCACTATTGCCCGGGCTAGAGAAGAGTGGCAAAGTCACAGCTCGCAGCAACCTCAAATTTTAGGCTTAAGTGATCCTCCTGCCTCAGCCTCCTTAGTAGCTGGGATTACAGTCGTGTACCCCCATACTGAGTTAATTTTTCTTATATTTTTTGTAGAGCTGGGGATCCCTCTATGTTGCCCAGCTGGTCTTGGACTCCTGGCCTCAAGCCATCTTCCCACATCAATCTCCCAATTGACATTCCAGGCATGAGCCACCACACCCAGCCAACTTGCTTGCTTTTTATGATTCTGTATAAAACAAGGAAAAACTTCCTGTAACTACAAGACTGTTAAAAAAAACTTGTGATTGGGGATCACCTGTGATTCTTAGTTCTAGCTCTGAGTAAAACAATAGAGTGGGTCAGCTATTTCCCACCCCTACTTGTCCCCCAGAATCACCCTGTTAGTACCTCTGTCATTTGCCCTCACAGCTTGGGACACTGTGCTAGTTCTTGGGCAGGGCTGTTGCAACAGCTGAAGAACCCCACCTTGGACAAAGGGCTTACAGCACTGGTTTGAGTCAGGCAGTTCTTAGCACTAGAAATAACAGGAAGTAAAATGAGAGTGAAACCTTCTGAACCCTTTGCTCTATAATTTCAAATTTATTGCAACCAGAAGAATTCAAGACGAGTGTTTTCACACACAAAACTCTTATTTATCATATACAAAATAACGAGGGACTTGAATTTGCAAACTTGTGTGTGGCAAGAGAGGAAAGTGGTCCAGGGGCTCCCAGAAGGAGAAATGTGAGCTGGCAGAGTTAGAGAAAACCCTGGGGAAGGGGAGCAGCTCAAGAGAAAAGTGGGCCATCTGCCTTTTCTCCACATGTGGTGACCCCTGAGTCGAGTGTGGCACAAGGTCCAGACCACAGTATGCTCAGTAGATGTTTGGGAACTGATTACCAAAGGGGTTAGAACTGATCAGGGAATCACAGGCTGTCTGTGTTTGTAGTGGCCAAAACACTGGGCATGTGGCAATAATTCTGGGGCCTGTAAGGCATCCTAGGCCAATGATAGGCAAGTGTACAAGAGAAAAGACTCCAAAGTCTAGGACACAAGGGTAGGCCCTGCTCAGGAGTCTCACTCAGAAAGCTTATTTGAAAAAGGTATGGGTTTCCTATGTCAATGCCACCAGCACACTACATATATGAAGCCTTGTAGGGGCCACATTGTGCTAATGCTTACTCTTCCCACTCAAGGAGGTGCAAGAGTGCTGTCACCAACTCCACTGCACATAGGTGGAGACACTGCAGCCTCTCTTATTAGGCAGTTTCTTCTTTCTACACTGCCTACAGGCGGGGACTCCAGAGGCTCCTCCCTGACCCCCACTTCTAACAGCTCAGGCTCTATTCTCTTTCTGCAAAGCCCTTTCCTTAAAATCCAGTTCAACTTTCTAAACCCAGCTGAAGCACCCTACCCTCCATTGGCCCGCACTAGATTCCTCAGTTCTGAGAATTCTGCTGTGCCTTCCTATAGACTCCTCCTGGCTTCATGCAGGAAGGGCTCCTTTGTGCTGGTGGGCCCTCTGGCCTCTCTCTCTCTCCTTGCCTGCATGTAGCATGGGGCCAAATGCCCAGATAAGGTTTGTGCTAAAGAAGCATTGACCAACTGAATGCAATTCTTTATAAAGCTTATGAAAGACACTAAGAATGATAAAAAATGAGACTCAAGATTCCAGCAGGAAATATATTCCACATCTACCAATAAATAACACTCACTTCAAGACCAAAGGACATTTAAAAAGGGAAGGAAAGTCACCATCTTTCCAGCCTTTAACATTAGCATGTCAATTGTCCCACATACCTCTTGACCTAGTCACAGAAAAACGTACATGGATAGTGGCTCATTTTCTTTTGTTGCCTACGTGAAGTCTTTCTTCTATGGCTTTCTTACATTCCTTATGTGAGGGGTCTAACTCAGAAGGAGAAATCCAGTATTGATCAGTGGTGTTTTGGCTCCCATCTTTCCTTCTCTCAGACTATGAGGGCCAGGAAAGAGCTAGGTGTTCATTACCTGATTCCTCTTGTGGACCATTCCCCTTATTGGCCCCTTAGGGATCTTGCCTCCTACTGGCAGAGACCAACCAGTGAAAGGCTTCCTACAGGAGATGCACCATCTCCACCACACTTCCTTACCTTCTCATTCTTTTTTTTTTTTTTTTTTTTTGAGACAGGAGCCTCAAGCTGTCCCCCTGGGTAGAGTGCCGTGACATCACAGCTCACAGCAACCTCCAACTCCTGGGCTCAAGCAAGTCTCCTGCCTCAGCCTCCCGAGTAGCTGGGACCACAGACACCTGCCACAACGCCCGGCTATTTTTTGGTTGTAGCCATCATTGTTGTTTGGTGGACCCGGGCTGGATTCAAACCTGCCACCTTGGGTGTACGTGGCTGGCGCCTTGGCCACTCGAGCCACAGGCACCGAGCCCAATTTCCCATTCTTACTTTCTGCCTTAGAAACTGATTCTCAGTGCCCCTCACTGCTCAGCCTAATGTGAGGTAATTACAGCCCTGAAGGCCTGGACTAAGGCCAAAATCTCCCATCTGAGGAGCCATAAATCTCTTTCAGGTGGCTTTGCCCACTGCTGAGCCCTGCACCCCTGCTGAGTACCAGGCGCCCCCTCCTTACTCTAGTCCCTTCCCAGGGCTCAATGTCTGGGGAACACAGGCTCAAGGCACATGTTCCTACCTGATATGTTTTCACACACTGAGAACATTAAACTCAGCTACTGGAGCCTAAATCCCATCAAGACAGGTGTTCACATAAGGGAAATGCTTGCCTGTGGATTCAAGAGTGGTGATTAAGAGCTGAGAAAAAAGTATGAGACAGTATATGCACACATGTATAGGCACGTGTATGCATGCATACTGTATGCCTGCAAGCACATGTATGAGCACACTGTCCTTGGCACATTGCTAATTACTGAATAATAAGCCATACACTGCCAAGGAAGGAACACACTTCCCAAAGGGAAGGGCACATTTTTTTGAGGCACAAGCCTCAGAATCACCATTCCCAGAGTACCTGGGCCAGAATGGGCCAACAGAAGGGCTGGGGCAACCCCAGCATGAAGAAGAGCAGTGCCAGGTACACAGTAGGTACTGAAAAAAACATTAGTCCTGTCTTCCTCCCTTTCTGGAAGGAAGATTTGACAGCAAATGAAGCAGGCAGGAAGCCTGGGAGTTGGATGTCAAAGTCTCCAGGGAAGTGAGAAGCAATGGGAAGTCCAGCCAACAATGTTAAGAGAAAGATAGTGGTAGAACTGTATGGCCTACGTCTTACAAGAGGGGAAAGATCAATGTTTGAGGGCCAGGCTCATGCAGCAGGCCCAAAATCACCCCAGAGAGGGCGTGGGAGTCCAGCCAGGGTTGCTGAGGGGACGAGGAGAATATTACATACTCAGGCACAACCAGATTTTCACCTAGCAGAAGGTAGAGGGAATGTCTAGGGTAAGTAGTAAGGACACAATAGTTGGGGAGTTCCAGAGAACAGAGTGGGGTGCCTAGGATGAAAGACATAGTGAATACAATCCAAATATAAGAGGGGGTTAGGGCTTCAATGGCAGCCAGAACATCCCATGTGTGGTTCTACTAAGCATCTGATCCTTGTCAGGATCCTGGGCACCTGGCCCTGGGCTGCACTGCAGACATTGGCTCCCTAGCAGTGAGCAAGGCAGATTAGGCCACTCAGATCATGGAATTCACCTTATGGTACAAGATACAGGCAAACACCAGGAAGACAAAGAGTCAAGCTCAATTCATTCAGAGTGTAACAGGTGCTTAAAAGAACAATATGGAAGACGAAGGAGGGAGACTACCCTGGTGGGTCAGAGGGGGCACTTCTGAAGAGAAGACACCTGAGCAGAGGCATGCCATCATTCTGGTAGGGGCCATGCCAAGCCTCAGGGGAGGAAACGACAGGGTGTTAGGCTTTGAGGTGGGAGTGTACATTGCAGGTAGGGAGTGTGCATTGCAGGTAGGGAGCAGCAAGTAGGCCAGTGTGGCTGCAGGGGTCTAAGAGGGAAAAATGTAGATCTGGAAGGCCTGGAACATGGGAACAAACCCCTCCCAACTGTCTACCAGGCTGCTGCAGTGCTTAAGAAGCCCTGCAATATTTATACTAGTCAGACTAGTGGAAGCAACCCAAATGTCCACTGACACATGAACAGATAAACAAAATGTTGTATATACACACAATGGAGTATTATTCAGCCTTTAAAAAGAAGGAAATTCTGACACATGCTACAATATGAAGGAATCTTGAAGACTTCTGCTAAGTGAAATACCCCTGACACAAAAGGACAAACACTGTGTGATTCCATTTATATGAGGTACCTAGAAACTTAGAATAGTCAAATTCATAGAGACAGAAAGGAAAACAGTCATTTCCAAGGGCTGGGGGAGGAGGGAATGGGGAGTTCTGCTTCATGGGTATAAAGTTTCAGTATGGGGGCTCAGCGCCTATAGCTCAACCGGCTAAGGCACCAGACATGTACACCTAAGGTGGCGGGTTTGAATCCCCAGCCTGGACCCGCCAAACAACAATGACAGCTGCAACCAAAAAATAGCCGGGCGTTGTGGCGGGCGCCTGTGGTCCCAGCTACTTGGGAGGCAGAGGCAGGAGACTCGCTTGAGCCCAGGAGTTGTAGGTTGCTGTGAGCTGTAATGCCACGGCACTCTACCCAGGGGGATAGCTTGAGGCTCTGTCTCAAAAAAAAAAAAAAAAAGTTTCAGTATGGGATGATGGAAAAGTTCTGGATGTGGAGGGCAGTAATGGCTCCACAGCAATGTGAATGTACTTAATGCCATTGAAGTGTACACTTAAAAATGATTAAAATGGGGCAGTGCCTGTGGCTCAGTGGGTAGGGCACCGGCCCCATATACCAAGGGTGGCGGGTTCAAACCTGGCCCCAGTCAAACTGCAACAAAAAATAGCTGGGTGTTGTGGCAGGCACCTGTAGTCCCAGCTACTCAGGAGGCTGAGGCAAGAGAAGCGCCTAAGCCCAAGAGCTGTCATATGCACTGTGATGCCATGTCACTCTACAGAGGGCGATAAAGTGAGACTCTGTCTCTAAAAAAAAAAAAAGATTAAAATAGTACATTGTTTGTGATGTACATTTTACCAAAATAAACAAAACCAAACAAAAGGAATGAAGTACTAATAGTTGCTACAATGTGGATGAACCTCAAAACATGATGCCAAGTGAAAGAAGACAGACACAAAAGATCATACATTGTATGATTCCATTTATATGAAATATCCAGCATAGACAAGTCCTTAGGACTAGAAAGAAGACCAGTGGTTGCCAGGGGGTTGGGGAAGAGGAACTGAGAAGCAACTGTTTAATGGGCATGGGGGTTTCTTTGGGGTGACGAAAAAGTTTTGGAACTAGATAGAGATGATGGTTGTATGAATGTATTTAATTGTGAATGTATTAAATACCACTGAATTGTTCATTTTATTTTTTTGTTTTTTGAGACTGAGTCTCATTATGTTACCCTTGGTAGAGTGCAGTGGTGTCACAGTTCACAGCAACTTCAAATTCTTGGGCTTAAGCAATGCTCTTGCCTCAGGCTCCCAGGTAGCTGGGACTACAAGCACAATGCCCAGCTATTGTTTTGGTGCAGTTGTCATTATTGATTTTAGATGGCCCGAGGCACCACCCAAATTGTTCATTTTAAATTGGTTAATTTTATGTTATATGAATTTCACTTTAATAGACAGAGAAGGAGGGCAGCACCCGTAGCTCACTGGGTAGGGCACTAGCCACATACACCAAGGCTGGTTGGTTTGAACTCAGCTTGGGCCAGTTAAAACAACAATGACAACTGCAATAAAAAAATAGCTGGTCATTGTGGTGGGCGCCTGTAGTCTCAGCTACTTGGGAAGCTGAGGGAAGAGAATCACATAAGTCCAAGAGTTTGAGGTTGCTGTAAGCTGTGACAGTACAGCACTCTACACAGGGTGACAGCTTGAGACTCTGTCTCAAAAAAGAGAGAGAGAGAAGGAAAGAGAGAATCCTTGCATAATATCAGAGAATGGCTCAAATGGGTTACAGAGGTCCTCTTCTATTCACCTTGTTCCCACCATAAAGCAGCCTTCACCTAATCCCCCAACAAACCTACAGACAGTCATTTTCTCCCTGACCAACAGGGTCCACTCAGCATTCCTCACATACGGGGCCCTCTGAGACAGGACTCTAGTCATTTGCTAATTCAGTCATCATGACTTAACCCAAAAGGCCTGTATTATCTAGGGTGGTAACCTTGACAAGCAACTCCTGCCAATACATCTGCAAAGTCAGGAAACTGAAGAAGAAATCAGGTAAAGCTAGTGGCATCTGCTCACAGATCCACACAACTACTTCAGGCCCCACAAAATGAAGAGTCCACCAAGGTCCCACAGTAGCAGCATGCCACCAATGACCAGATAGGAATGAATCTCAGAGGCAAGGGCACTTCCCATGACAGCACAGAGTCCAGGACTAGTGCTTAAGAGGAAAGATGAAGAGTGGGGCCTGTGCCCCTCAAGAGTTCCCGGGCTGCTTGTTCTGGAGGAGCCAGTAGTGGAGTGGCATGATTTGATGGGCCCAGCCCTGACCACAGGAGTGGAAAGCTAGGCCCCAGCTGCCCAGTAAGAGGCAGGTATGGCCAATTGGGTCAGGCCAATCTGCTGACTGAGCACGAGGCTGGAGCAACTCTGCAGGGAGCTGCGTGAAATGTCAGCATCTTCCTTGCAGTGGCCCAACTCATAGCACCCCTTTCCTTTCACTGTGCACATGAACACAATCTGTCACTGTTGAAGGAGCAGAGTTTTCAGAAGAGAGTAGGCCAGGCCATGGGGGGGGGTCAGGAAACTGGTTGAATTTAGCACGTGCCAGATACTTTACATCAATCATTTCGGTTAATCCTCATAACAACTCAGTAATGGAGGTTCAGATGAGGAAACCAATATATAAAGAGAGGGCCCGGGTGCAGTGGCTCACACCTGTAATCCTAACTCTCTGGGAGGCCAAGGCAGGTAGATTGCTTGAGTTCACGAGTTTGAAACCAGCCTGAGCAAAAGCAAAAATAGAAAAACTGAGG